TGCAATCTAAAAATATCATTATAATGAAAGTCAATGGGGCAAAAACAGCCATCAACACAATGAAAGGGTAGTCACTTTGCCTATTGTATTGAGTTTTTGGAAATTTTCAAAGCATTCTCCCAAAATAATGTCATCCTACCATCTTAAAATGAGAATCAAAAGGATCCCATTTTGGATGAAAACAACCAAGATAACATAAGGGTTACTGTTTTACCATTTATTTTTAGATAATTGCTAAAAAAATGCATTTATTTAATGTGTATGAAACATGTAATGTATTTGTATCAGGTGTTAAAAAAAGATTCATCAGAATGACCTGAATAATATATAAGATCCACATAGAATTAAAGCCACCAAGCTAATAATGCAACCTTCATAGTTAAAGTGCTTCAACAAAGAGCAGTCTTCAAGTATTAACACTAGCATCATCCTGAAGCATCCGATTCTGCAGTGGTTAAAAACAATCCCATCTTAACGATCTGTCAATTTAAAGTGGTGTCTTTGACCAACACTAAGGCTAACTTTCATGAAGTTTGTTTCTTGCATGTCATTTTACGAACACATGAACAGATAGTTGGTTTAAGGTCCAAATGAGGGACACAAATGAGTTGTGGTCACTTACTGACAATCCTGTCGACGGCATCGTGGTCATCGAAGGTGATGAAGGCGAAGCCCCTCCTCTTATCGCTGTTCTTCTCAGTCATGATGTTCACCTCGTCAATCTTACCAAACTGGCCGAAGTACTCGCGCAAGTGTTCCTCATCCGTGTCCTCTTTGATTCCACCCACAAACATCTTTTTAACAGTGGAGTGAGCGCCTGGCTTGGACGAGTCCTAAAATCATATAATAAACCATTTATATTATATAGTTAATGCACGCACAAATGGTCATTTGATTACAATAATTAGAACTTAAGCCATTCTTGGAGGTTGCAATAGCACTGCATTTAAAGAAAAATACAGCAAAACCTGCAAGAAAATTTTTAATTTGCTTAAAAAAGGAACAATTTAAAACATGTGACCATTTTATAATACAATTTAATTCTGTTTCACAGCTGATTTTCCATTATCAATATTACAGTTTTACATAATCGCTAAAATTATGATACTATGCTAATTAGATGGATCAAGAAACATGGTTGTTTAAAATGTTGAAAACAAATGCATAATACTTAAGAAGAGTGTGATAAATAAGACATATGACAAACTTAAATGACAGGAAAGGCATTCATAATTTTGCATTTCAAACACTTAAACACTGATTACAAAACCAGTATCATCTTATAATATTAAAAAATAAAACGTCAAAATACGCATAAAATTATTTCTGAATGGTCATGTGACCCTGAAACAGGAATATAAGAGCTGAAAATAATCTTTAACATTATGAATGCCTTTACTAATTTGAGTCTATTTAAACACACTAATTTGATGATTTGCTTCTTTTCGGTCACTTGTATGTCGCTGTGGATAAAAGCACACAATAAAGGAGTAAATGCAAAACTTCAGATTTACTTGGGAATAAAGTAAATAAATTAGAACTTACAATCATATTTAGCGAAATTTTACTTTATAAAAAAAAAATGGCCCAACAGTGAACAAAATCAAACCGATATAAAATTACCACAACACATACAGTATATTTTAGTGGCAAACTAAAATGTGATTTTACACAACTGGAATGTTGCTGGATTTAATTGAGGTTAAGTTTGTTTTATATTCGCACATTCGTTCATTTATGAACAGCCACAACCTGTGACACTGTATTTAATATTGTTGTTAACCATGCTACTTTAAACATTTCAGGCTGAAATTGCATATAAATGACTTAAACAACATAAGCTTTACTTAATTGAATGCGAGCAATGTGGTGATAGTCATCGTCTGCTAACAACATTTCTCCATTTAGAATTTTCAAAAAATACGTATCTGATATTATATTAAGGAGAAAGTCAGAATGCACAAATATAAAACCAACTTTACCCCACATTCAACACACACACAAAACAACATACTTCTCTAGACACGGCCCTCTTGGGTTCAACAGCCCGTCCGTCGACTTTGTGGGGACGTGCGTCCATCGCTGCGTCTACTTCACCCACTGAACTGTAGGTGACAAAGCCAAATCCCCTCGACCTCTTTGTGTTGGGGTCCCTCATCACCTGTGAGCAGTAAAGAAAACCAGCTACTTTCAGATGCTCTTCTCGTTCATACATTAGCATGTGAATGGCTGCAGATGGACTCACCACACAGTCTGTGAGGGTTCCCCATTGCTCGAAATGGGCCCTCAGACTCTCATCTGTCGTCTCGAAACTGAGGCCCCCGATGAACAGCTTTCGGAGCTGCTCGGGCTCACGAGGGGTCTGTTGCTGTGGAAAAAAGGATTGCAAGTATTAAACGTTATATATTAGCACACAATCACCGGTTAAAGCCAGTATGTGGGCGTTTTCTCGATGCACGCGCTACACACATACTTGCATGAACAGTATAATTTAAATGACCTTTCATAACCGTAAATAACCTTATATCAGGGTAAATTACCTTAAAAACTATTTTTCAAACGGCAAATAATGCTAAATTTAATTAAATCTGTAATTGAAAACTGCAATGCTAACACGCGCTCGATATTTTCCGCAGCGCATCCGGAAACGTGCGGCCTACACCGCCATCACAAATGAAACCAGAATATTTACAAACATTTCGACAAAATACATCCACATAAACAACAATATTAGCAAAATTCGAGCAAAGTGAAAGTTTGAGATGCTTCAAATCAAACTAAAACGCGTTTCTGCTTGTGAATCGATTCGAGCCGCAGCGGCGAACAAAGAAACGAGACGAAGCATCGAAAAAAAACTGCCTTTTTTAAATAAACCCACCCTTCCACACACACTAAATGTGTTTATTTAGGCACTACTATCTAACAGCAACATAAATATTAAGCATTATTAGATAATCAACCAGTCTGGAGCATAGTTTTGAGACGTACCTCTTTGGACATGGCGGTCACGCGGTGACTAACAGCAGACTCCGCTTCCCTTTCTTTTTTAGGTGTAATGGCGGGTGGCATTGCTGCTGGCTGCACGACGTCAGGTCACGTGCAAAGTGCGTCACTCACTTGAAAGCACGTCCCCCTTTTTTCTTTCCTGCGAGAAAATGGCGACCCAAACAAACTAACACAAAAGCTAACACAATATTGCTTGAAATGGAAACAATATTTTTCTTAACCTTTTATAGATGATATTTGGTCAACAAGTAATACGTTTTTACCCCCAAATAAGGTAAAATAAATTAATTCCAAAATATTAAACAGGTACTATCCCTGCAATATATTTATTAATACATTTAAAACAGAAATTTCACCACAATGTTCTGTTTGTAACACTGAGCCTGAAAGTCTTTTACATCTATTTTGTACTTTTTACGTCTATTTTGTACTTGTAAATGTTCTGATGATTTGTGAAAATAGGTTTCAGTGTATATTTTTGATTCATTTCACAAAATAATTAACTTTGATGAATGCATGATTCTTTTTTTAATTGTAAAACTTGCTATAATACACTCAATAATGCTTTGTAGTTGATATTTTTTCTTGGGAAGTTTTACATACACAAGTCAAAAGTAATGTCTATTACTCCTTCCTTTAAATTTTTTTTGTAAAGATATATATATATATATATATATATATATATATATATATATATATACACATATACATATATATGCATAATTATTATTTTTTTATTCACACTCATTTTAAATTGAATTAAAACATTATTTGTAAAACACAAAGCTTATTAAAGTGGCAAGAAAAATTTGGACAAATAGGTAATAAAATTACAAGACTGAAAATGAAATATGAAAACCACATAATTTATTTAGTATTTTATTTATGCATAAAGGAAGCCCCTCTCTTCTCCACACAAATTAAACTATGAAATGAAACACTGATCAGAAGTCTTTATAAAGAAACAAACAACCAAACATGTTCTTTTGCATTCAGACGCATCCGAAAAAGGAATTCAGTGTCATGCATCAAATAAAGAAAACAATGATTTTTTTCATAACTCACTGCTGATTCTGTCTCTTCATCCTTCCAAAAACTTCCCAAAATAATTCGAAGGTATGTCTTCTATTGCTTCTTTCTTTACAGTTTATGCGCATAACAGATATATGCAAACTGTAATAACGTTCCCAATAGATACTGGAGAGAGGCTTTTATTCTATCAACTACAAGCTAATGTATGTTCAGTGTGTGTATGTTTGTGTGCATGTTTATATTTTATATCAAAATAAGTATTGAACATGTCACCATTTTCCTCAGAAAACATGTTTCTAAAGGTGCTGTTGATTTGAAATTTTCCCCAATTGTTGGTAACAACCAAATAAATTTATATATGCAATGAAAAAGTCTAATTAGTTTAATAATAAAGTTATGCGTAAGAAACTGAAATGACGCAGGGAAAAAGTATTGAACACAAGAAGGGAGGTGTAGTTCAGCAGTGAAAGCCCAGACAGCAGCTGAAATCTATCAGTAGTTCTTCAGCAAGCCTCTGCCCTTCCTCAGTGTAAATGAAGATCAGCTGCCTCAGTCCAACATCTACATTAGCAGGAGGATGAAGATGAAACCAGGGTGGACATTTCAGCAGAACAATGATTCAAAACACAGCCAAGAGACTCTCAGATGCTTTCAGAGAAAGAAAATCAAGCTGTGGAATGGCCCAGCCAATCACCTGAGCTGAATCCAATAGAGAATACAAAATAAAGCTCAGAGACCCACAGAAGCATCGAGATTTACACACTCTGTTGAAGTCTGTGGAAAAACTCACACCTGAGTAATGCATGTGACTTCATTCTCCAATTGAGAGGCGTCTTTAAGCTGTAGTCACCAAAAAAGCCTTTTATATAAAGTGTTAAACACATTTCAGTTGTTCAGGAGTTTCTCCTTGTGTCATTTCATTGTTATTAGACACAACTCATTTTCCAGATTTGTTTTGTATATTTTTATGCTTGTATTGTTTGGGTTTTTAACAAAATCTGTCTCAATTCAATGTCAACAGTTCATTTAGAAATATTATTCCCAGGAAAAAACAATGTGTTCAATACTTATTGTCCTTGCTGCATCTCCTATATACATATATATATATATATATATATGCGCGATTAACCTTCAATATATGAAATGATACACACACACACACAAACATAGACATACATTTTGAACTGTATATGTCCATTTATAGATTATCATTTCACACATGTATCTCTCCAGTGTTTTAAAATTATATTAGAGTAAAAAGGTCCTCAAAATACACAAAGTTTGTTGCTATAGAACTAAGAGGTTTAACCAGTTCAGTAATATATAAACATACGTGTAACGATAAAAAGAAAAATATTCAGTCATTACATAAAAATGCAGCAATCTTCAGTCAATAAACAGCAGACGTCCCTCCGTTTCCATCAGAAATGCCCAATTCAGTCCATTCAGCCGAGAGCCTCGTCCAACAGCAGATAATATGACACGTTAAAAAGCTGATATCATGTGGCGCAACAGAAACATCAGCGTTTTTTGCTCTGTTTGAGGTCGACCGCTCGTGAAGGCATTGCATAAAGTAAAATAAAATAAAACACTGCTCGAACTCCTCCATCGCAGAGATTACAGCGGAAAACACTACATCCACAGAGAAGCAACACGGCTGAGCTCCTTCACGATGCAATACGACCTTTACATGACTTTGGAAAGAAACAAAACTAAAAAGGCAGCCTTTCTGACCTGTGGCGATTCAGTCAAATAAAAAGTATATCATCTTTTCATAACAAAGGAGTAAAAAAAATCCAAACCAAAATAGTATAGAATACACATGAGCACATCCTAAGGCCACAAGATGGAATAATGTCGCACATATAAATCTGTACATAACATAATGTGGGTCTTTTGGACGTTTTCATTAATGTAGTCAAAATTAGTCGCACATTTTTGCCCATAATATCATCCAAAATCAGAAAAAATTAATATATTAGCACATAGAAAATGCCTATTTTTGGGACCATTTAATTTTTAGTATTACATTTAGATTATTAACAAGCAAAACTATGTAAAAAGCTATTTATTAGTCTTGTTTAATACCTTATGAAAATAAAAGTAGTCAGTTATGTTTGATTTATTAACATAAAACAATAATTACTGTACTGAAGGTCTTGCTCATTAAAGCATTTTAAACTTAAATTTAATTCATAATTTGTAGTGTTTTTCCTGTTTATTAATTACTAGTAATTTCCAAAAGTCAGTAGAGCAAACTTTAAAAGCCTTCAGTGCTTATGCATTTATATAATTATCCATATTTGAGACCAAAATGCATATTCTTCTTTATAATATCAATCAAATATTCTAGTGTTGTCACGTTATTAGAATTTGGTACCAATTGGTACTGTAATTTTAAAGACGTCCATTTCCCACTAACATCTGAACGCGTTCTAAAACAGCGCTGATTTGCTATTGTGTTCACGTGCTCAACAGAAATGACTGTGATTGGCCTTGAAGGTCATCAGTTCACCGAACTCACCACTGTTTACCGAGTGTAAACAAAGTCACGTCGATCAGCTGGTTTGTCTATAAGCTGGCATGTGAGCGATCCGCTGATGAACCGCAGCTTTAAAATGCTCGAGTGTCCCTGTCTCTGTGGTTACACTCAGTAAACAGCGGTGAATTTGGTGAACTGATGACCTTCAGGACCAATCACAGTCATTTCTGTTGAGCACGTGAACACAATGGTCAATCAGCACTGCTTATGAAATCGCTCAACAGCGCTCAAATGTTAACGGGAAAGGGACGTCTTTAAAATTTCAGCATCGATTGATACCGAATTCTAGTATCGTGACAACCCTAAAATATGCTAAATAATAAAAAAACAATCTGGTCCTAAAATAGGCTTCATTTTCTTAATGCAAATTATAATTTCTGATTGAGCGAGTTGACGATCAAACATGGTTTCTAGTCAGATTTGTATGACAAAGACAGAACAAACCAGCTGTTACACACATTAATATACACATCTTTCAATTTCACACACTTACAATATCAGATCAAATGTTGTCCTGTGGATGTGTGATGAGTGTGTGTGTTTCTTTGTGTGCTTCAGTGTTATAAACAGTCTATTACATAGTGTATGAATATCAGTTTATATATGACAGGTTGTACCACTTTTGTTTTTTGGTTAGTAACATATTTCCCACATCAGCCATGTGTGTGTGTGTGTGTTTTTGTTCCTCGTCTCTTTTTAAAGTACCATAAAACCCTCTAATTGTGTTACCAAAAAGTACAAAAGAAGCCTGGGTGGTCAAACCGTGTGTGTTTCTGAGGAGGGAAGCGGTCTGCACTCGGCAGTGGTGGTGTTCAGAGGTGTGTTGTCTTCTTAGGGCATGTCACACGGCCAGTCGTCCTGGGGCCGGATGCAGGGGGCTCCATGTGGGCGTGGGGGCCGGCGGAGGCTCCTGTGTGTAAGGGCACGGCTGCGCTTCGACTTTCGTCACGCCACGACCCTGACACAACCGCCGGTGTCTCAACAGTCTGTCTGTGCGTGAGAAATTCTACAACACGCACGTAAAAACGGAGTTAGAAGGAGTCTAATTTACAAAACACAATCAATTCCATGCAATTATCAACCTTGCCATGAAAAAAAATACAGTTTTCACCAAAATAGTGAAACCCTTTCTAGGTTTTTAGTGTGGGTTTGTATTTGACAGTCCTGTAAAAACACTCAGAAATGTCTCTGTCAGTGTTTTCAAACAATTATATTTGATTTACCAAAGTCACACAAGTGCTAATTTCACATCTGTCACATCCATAACCAAGCTTTTCCTTCATAAATACAAAGATAAAATAAAATCAATCATGTTTGTTCTCTAGAGAGAAACTCTTATCCTGTTGATTAGCATTGTTTCTCTTGGGTTGTGCAGTTTAATTCACAGAATTTCTACAAAGTATGTTGTATACTGTAAACTCACAGACATTTTTGGTCACATCCATAAAACATGCTTATTTTCCTTAATTAAACCATTTAAGATGTTTCCAGATTGATAATTTTCAGATCCATAACTCTACGAATAACAGTTTTGGAAAATATAAACAGATGTTTCATATAATGTTAAAGGGTCACGAAACACCAAAACACATTTTTTGAGCTGTTGACAGTCGTATATGTGTCCCACACTGCTAAAAACACTATTAGGACACCTATATTTCACAAAAAAGTGTAAATTGGTTGTTTTTGCGTTATTTCAAGCAAATTCGTACTTCCGGTTTGAAACGAATTTTTGAAGCTGCGTCACGGTCATGACATAATAGCGTGTATTCCAGCGTGCAGACTGGACGTCTGTGCCAGAGTAAGTCTTATTACGTCTTACAGTGTGCTGCATTAATGCATGAGTAAGGCTTGGTTCAAACCAATCAGCGCGCTCTATTGTGCAACTTCATTAATATTCATTACTGTCACAGTGTTTACACGACAGAGACGCCACGTTGTGTTGGCAAAACAGGTCACAAAAAAAAGTTTTGTTTTCATTTTCTCTCTGTGAGAGCTCAGCTGGATCACGTGAGGATTAACAGTGTACGCGACGCTCGACAACAATAACTTACGTGTCTAAGGAGGATTATTGTTTACCTGAGAGCTGTTCTCATCTGCAAACGCTGAGATCCGGATTCACTTTAGTCTCCTCTTAAAAAAGACGCGGCTCTAGTTGCTGGTGATTGTCCTGTCTCTACAGATTTGGTAAGTGAGCGACCAGTGCTCTTTGTTTATTCAGTTTGTTCGTATCTAACAAACTATTGCACCGAGTGTAAACATGTTAGCACCACAACCAAACTTTAACCTCGTGTAGGATTTTCACCGCATTTAGTGACCGGAATGACACACGCGGCTTTCTGACACTACCTGCCGTGTGCATCTAAATTTCCGGGAAATGCAGAGGTTTTTTTCTCTCATTCGCCGTGCGGTATCAAACATTGCATGAAAAATACACGCTTAGAGCAGCTCCTCGAATCAAATATCTCGTTTGTCGCGAGGGGCATGAATGAATTCCCTGAATGAAAGAGCCAAACTGCAGTTAAAGTCCACCATTTAATCATTTGGCAAATAATTTGACTACAGATGTCCATGTAGGTTAAACGGCATCACTTTCTCTTGTGTGTGTGTGTGTGTGTATTTTGACTCTGAAACCGAGTGTGCCCAAATAGACACTCCCACACCCTCCCACTTTAGTTCCTCTGACACTCCCCCCTAAACAGAGCTGGACACGCCCACTTTTCTGACTTTTTCCAAAGTAGAGGTGTGAAACCCTGCTGAAACGAGGGGGTTTCATGGCCCTTTAACATTGACTTTCTCTGTGAATTTATGTTCTCTGTGAATATATATATATATATATATATATATATATTTTTTTTTTTTTTTTAAATAAATTAATTAAATGCTGATATTAGAAAGTAATAGAAGAAAAATATATAAAAATATAAACAAATATATAATTTTATTTCAATTTAATTATATAAAACTAATATATACATACACAAACACACACATATATTAGTAGACTAATAAAGGGAATAGTGAATGACAGGATATAAGGTAAGATTTGGAACAGGGCAAAGGTATTAGGTCACACGTACAAAGGTATTTTTATAATTAAGAGTTTATATATGTATTAGGAGTTTTTTTTATAAATAAAGAAAGAGTTTCACCTCCCTTCATTTAAAAAAAAAAAAAAAAAAAAAAAACTCCCTCCACATGAAAACCAAAAACGTACTGTGATTCATGTTAAGGGCGCCAAACCAATAGGTGGCGATAAAAACCTTTTTGTGCTGAGTTCATACCAAACGGCGTAGCATTTGCGCAAGTAAATTGCCTACAAGTCAATGCAAACGTGAGATCAAAGGTAGATTACTATCCTGCGGTGAAAATGACAAAGTGTGCGAAAGTTTTCTGAAATTGCGTCTTCCATGATTGGTGTGAACCCAGCCACGTTGGCCAATCAGAAAGAAGTAAAAAGTGGACACACGATCACACTGCAACCGAAGTTTCAGAAAACCTTTACCATGACTGGAGTTTTCAGAAAGTTTCGGTTTCAGTCACCTGACACTGAGCAACTCCATCATTAGAGAGGAGACATCTGCAGTTAAAAACTCGAATCAAATGCACAGAGAAAGTCTGTTCACATTATATTGAAACATCTGTATATATTTGCCAAAACTACCAACCACAGAGTTATGAGATCAGAAAAATATCAGTCTGGAGATTTTTTTCATGTTTGTGTGGAAAAAAGCCTAATAATCCTGAAAACCCAGCATGCTCTCACCTGTTGGCAGCGCTCACACTGGTAAGGCTTTTCTCCGCTGTGAACGCGCTTGTGTCGCTCCAGATGATACCTCTGAATGAAGCGCATGTCACACATGTCACACGCAAACGGCTTCTCTCCTGTCAGAGGAACACACTGGTTATTAAAGCAAAGTACACCGTCAGTCCCACAGCATGCCACAACACACAATAAAAACCTTAAATACAGAGTATATTCAAGCTTAGCAATAAGTATGACTTCATACAAACTCGAGTTTGTAGAGTATATTCAAATTCGAGTGAAAAACTGCTTATTAGTGAAGACCTGTTCTCACCAAGAATGAAAACTGTAAGAATAACTACTGTATATTAACATCCACATCAATGCAATATAACGTTCAGTAGTTCTGCCTTCTGTCCCTTTAACACTTAAGCTCGTTAAAGCAGGATTAATTCTGATTAGCTAAACGTTCAGAATTAATTCAAATGATATTATTCCTCTCTGTGATATTACCATAATAGATATGCTGTAAACCAGTGGTTCCCAACCCGATTCATGAGGGGTCTCTCTAGTTTCAGATTGCTTGTACAAATAAAACAGATAACAATTTAAGGATTAAACAAATTACTGAAAATTAATTTAATTAATAGGGAGACACGGTGGCTCAGTGGTTAGCACTTTGGCCTCATAGCAAGAAGGTCTCTGGTTCGAGTCCAGGCTGTACCAGTTGGCTTTTCCGTGTGGAGTTTGCATGTTCTCCCTGTGTTGGTGTGAGTTTCCTGCGGGTGCTCCGGTTTCCCCCACAGTCCAAACACATGCGCTATAGGGGAACTGATGAACTAAATTGGCCGTAGTGTATGAGTGTTTGTATGAATGTGAGAGTGTATGGGTGTTTCCCAGAACAGGGTTGCAGCTGGAAGGGTATCCACTGAGTAAAACATATGCCTGAATAGTTGGCGGTTCATTCCGCTGTGGTGACCCCTGATGAAAAAGGCAATAATGCCTTTCCATAAACGCCACCTACTGTCCGAAAGTGCATTTACATTTTCATTCAGGATGTCTGCAGTGTGTTCAGATCACTGACTGGATCAGTTTAAAGCCAATGTTAGACTAAGCTTAAATCAGGATTTCACCAAGTCAAATGTAAGACTTAAGATCTTTCTAAGACCATCAATAGAGAATTACATTTCAGACTTCAATAGGGCTTAAGGCTGCAGACTTGTGTATAACAGATACACTTGCCGCATCAAAAAACTAAATTCTAATAAATTATTTCTTATTGTATTCTAATTAATGATTATTTCTCCACACATTTTAAACAATGTGTCAGAACAAGCAGACTCTAGTTCTTTACGAATTATTTTTTCCAACATAACAAAAAAAAACCTTAACAAGCAATGTATGCAGAACAGACTGCTATAATAATAGCTATAAATAGAAATTTGCTAAAACTTTAGCTAAAATGGTGTGAAGGATTCGGATTTCTGCTTTCCAGTCCGTCTCATCATGGACCAACGTTTATCCTTTTCATCATCCTGTTTCTCAGTATTTAACTGTGAATTGATTTTAATTAATGAATAAGTTAACACGTTGCTTAATATAAGAATGTTCAGTGCATTGGCCTGTCTCTTTATACCTATTTTCAGGAGCCAGCAAACTAGGTCAGAGGTCATGGAGACCTTGAGTGGAACTGAGGGCTGAGGACTGGAAGCAACTGTTTCTATTGATTTCGATGAGTTAATACTGTCGAAAATGTCTAAAGTGATTTTGCTATAGTTTTACGGTTAAATCTTTTAAAGTGATTCTACTTTTTATTCAAGATAGACTTTGTGTAGTAAGAATATAACTGCCTGAATGTAGATTATACCAGTTTTTAACCAGTTTCGATAAAGACGGCTGACAGTACACTCAGCCTTGGATAAGAAACAGATTATACTTTAAGTGTGTGTGTTTTATTTGATTGTTGATCCGTTTCACAGGTCTGGAGTCAGCTCTAATCAGTCTAAGGAATGTCTGACGTTTATGCTGAAGATATTGTTCAGAATATACGCATAAAAACCCCACGTGGAAATGTTCCTAGTCTATCTGTGTTTCAACCAATCAGATTAGGACACCTGTATGTGTGACGCGGTTAATGACGTTATGTGAGAGTATAATTGTTATTGATTGGTGATTGTAAGCAGAGCGGCCTAGGAACTCATTGCGAGTGTTGAAGCTGACTTCTGCTGATGAAACTGCAAACTATCTTCAGTAAACTTGATTTATTTATTTACATCTCTGACTCTTCTTCATCTACCAGACTGGTAATTCTTTGGGTCAATACTATAAACTATCCCTACAGATGATTGGATGTGTAATGTAATGTGTGTATTTATATAGCGCATTTATTGTGTGTGGCCATACACCCAAAGCACTTCACAATCATGAGGGGGGTCTTTCCACACCACCACCAGTGTGCAGCATACAATTGGATGATGCGATGGCAGCCACAGCACAACAGCACCAGTGCTTCACCACACACCAGCTATTGGTGGAGTGAAGAGACAGTGATAGAGTCAATTCGGTGGATGGGGATGATTGGGAGTGCATGATGGGTGAGGGCCGAGAAAGAAAATTTGGCCAGGACACCGGGGTACACCCCTGCTCTTTACCAGAAGTACCATAGGATTTTTAATGACCACAGAGAGTCAGGACTTCAGTTTAACATCTCTGACAGTATGGCGTCCCCTTCACTATACTGGGGCATTAGGACTCACACAGACCGCAGGTTGAGCGCCCCCTGCCGGCCTCACTAACACCAATCTAGCTTTCCCATGTGGTCTCCCACCTGGACTGACCAGGCTCAGCCCTGCTTAGCTGCTTAGGGCCTACTCACACTATGCCATCCGTACCGTGCCCAGGCCCGTTTCCCGGATCGTTTGAGAAGTGTGAGTGCGCTGAATCGGGCTCAAGCACGGTTCACTTGGCCGGCCCTGGCCCGGTTGGAAGAGGTGTGCCTGAGCGCGGTTCACTTGGGTTTTGGCGCGGTACGCTTGTGTGTGAGTGCAAAACGAGCCAAAGCCCGAAACTGAAAGCGAGACGTGACTTTTAAGGCGCTGTTTCATATGGATTTATTAATCATTCTTACTGTTCAGTGAACGCAAACTGCCGTCGTTTATTAAAGACGCAAACTGCTCACTGCACGACAGCTGCGCGCCTTCAGCAAACCTCCTCATTCTTGCAGCACGAGGGCTTTATGATTGTTTATGAGCGCCAAAAGTGGCGGATCTGTTCGGCGAAATATCTGACTGCGTGTCCCCGCATCCCTAAGGACTGTTTGGCGAAATATTTGACTGCATATCAAACGACTGAAACGATATAACTAGAGAAATCTCCACTGTGCTGCTGAGTGAGAAAGCGCTTCTCACTGAACAGCGCAGCAGCGATGACGTAAGCGTGCTGAAGCCCGTTTGTGGTGTGAGTGCGGGCCGTCAGGGAAGACGGGAGGGGGACAAGCGTGCTTTGGCCCGGTTTGAGGCAACTGTACCTAGTGTGAGTACGGCATTAGTGAGTGACCGGGGCTGCAGAGTGATATGGCTGTGGCAATGTGTTGGATCGATTAGGTAGCCTTACATAAACAATTGGAAAATTAAGACCTTTTAAAAATGATTTAAAACAAGACAATATTTCAGTGAATCTAAGACTTTTTAAGACCTTTTTGAAATTTAAGACCCAGCGGACACCCTTTTATATGCACTATTACAATTATTAAATGAAACAACATAAAATAAACACATTATTTGAACAATAAGTCTTAGTAGATAACATTTGCACTACAAGATAACGTTTTTAACGTGCTCAACAAACGTTTTTATTCATTTAAATTGGGCCATCATTGTAAACATTATTATTTAAAGGTTCAGGACACCCTGGAGAACTTTTTTTTTTATATTAACTGATGTGTGTGTGTGTTGAGCATCAGTTAAGACAATGCTAGCACCTGTCAGCTGTAATTGTGGGGGGAAACTGGATAATTTTGAGCTTTTGTCAGCTCATTTCAGCTTCCGGGTTTAAAATGATTTTTGGGGTGGATCAAAATCGGCGACGTAGTGCAGTACTGCAAGTGCAATGATGACGCGTCAGTTTCTCATTATTATTCATAGCGGAGTTTTCTTATCCTATGAGAAGAGCCGGCTGCTTAATTATTCATGAGACCTGCCAGACCTGCCAGAGTCAAGCCCGAGCTGTGAGACACGTCACGGGCACACAGTATTTAGCCGTTCATGAAGGCTCATATGCGTTTGTTTCCATGATTCATGGGGTTTGTTGCATGTTTTCCCCCCCGATCTTGTCAGGGCCGATACAGCAAAGCTGTGTGTGTGCTGCTAGCATTTTTGTCGGGAGAGCAGCATGAGAATTAGAGAATGGCGGACGCTGTCTTTTATCAGGAGTTCGTTCACATTCAGACACATCGCCGTGCTGCTGTGTTTGCCTAAATCCTCCAGATTACCAGCAGGGTTAATGGTTAAAATAGACAGGGCAAAAGACCTGCAGCACTGAGTCTGCTGGATACGGGGATTGAGGAAGAAGTCCTCATTTATAGGGTTTACGTGAACACACTTATCTTTATAATGATATAAATTGTGGTTATGTGTGTATGAAATTACGAATAACAAATGTAGCATGGCATTAAATCACAGTTCATTTCTTTGCATTTTAACTTTGTAAACTATAAACTCATGCGTCTCCTCACGGTTTGTCTCATTTTGTGAGCTAGCTTCGACTCCCTGCTGGCCACGCCCACTCCTACCCGATGCTCGCGGATCTCCACGCCCATTAATCATGCATCTTTTGAAAAAATTCTGAAGTAGACTTTAACCGAAAGTGGGGGGTGTCATGGCCCTTTAAATCTTCATCTTTTTTTTTGAAAGGGGTCATTAGGAAAACTGAATGTTGAAATAGGAGTTTGCAGGAAAAAGGTTGTGAACCACTGGTGTAAACTCTCCACTACATCTTTATCATTACAGCTATCATCCTTGGTGTGAATGGGCTTTAAAATGGCACACTGAGGTTTTGGTTTCAGCTAACCTGGTTTGAGACTGAGGTTGTGCGTACTTACTTTAAAGTATAAATGCTTAAAAAGACACTGCTATATCAGTATGCAACACATAAATGACAGCAAACAAATGCAATATGCACAGAAATCAAACACCTCCACAGAGAAATGAGACCTAGATAATGCAAAACTTGATGTTATCAAACAAAAGGGAAATAACTAATGCAAAAAATAGTTGTTAAAAAGCTACATCATTGTGTTTGTTTCCGATCCACAAAATATATACAAACTCCAGCCCCAATCCAAGAATCAGAGTGCAGTGAAAGGACACATACCAGTGTGAGTGAGGCTGTGTCTTTCCAAGTGGTAACGTTGGAAAAACCTCATGTCGCACATGGAACAAGCATACGGCTTCACCCCTAAATGTAGAGTCAATTTTTAGTGAATGTCTTTGCAAAACATCCAAAGCAGCAAACATTTTTTAAATGCTTTAACAATAAGTATATTCAATTCTGCATTTTTTACTCATTATGGTTTACACTTGCCGTATTACAAAAGCAAATATTGTGAGAGCGGTTTAAAATATGAATACTGATATGATATTTTTTCGTTTTTTAGGGTTAAAGCAAATGTTTTCTTTAGTTTAGTAGGGGTGTAATGGTACACTTATTCGGCATGGGTCTTTTGGCTTGGTACGCATGTGTTGTCATGTGTGTCATTTTAACCACTGCATGTGCATAGCTTAATTTGATACTCCTGGTTTAATATAGATTCATTTTAATAATTGATTATTAAAACCCAAGTTCACTAGTAGTTACACATCAAGCAGCTTTGTGTTTAGCTAGATTTTAAAGACTCAAAATCTTAAATGCTGTAACTTTTGTTATTAAACTTGAAAAAGAAATGCAGTGAGTGGAAAATATCATTCCAACTTTACTACAAGTTATAGCACAAACTAGTAGAGGGCGATTTAAGTCTTTTCTGACAGTTTTAGTCATTCTGCAGGTGAAATTACCCTATTTAATAACGTATTTTTGCGTCAAACTCACTTCATAACTTCAGCTGAGTGTTTGAAATAAATCCTTCCATGGGATGATTGTGTTGTCATGTGATTATTAGCGATGGCAAATCAATATAAGCTGCTAAATCTTCTGTTTATAATGCAACGCTATGGGGATTTCCTGGTTTCTCCTTCATGGGTGTTTGGAGATTCAGCACAAGAGCGCCCTCTGGCCTATAGAGGAGATTTACTACTGATTACACAACCGTGCTGTGTTTTCAACGTTTTTATTTTAACTAATCTCCCAGCCATAAAAATGTTAACATCGGCCACAGTAAAATAATTTATAAACAGTAGTTGAGTGACGTTTTGTTTTCAACGTTTTGTTTGATAACTGTTTTCAATTGAGACGTTAAACCGAGGTCCTGACTCTCTGTGGTCATTAAAAATCTCAGGATGTCCTTCGAAAAAGAGTAGGGGTTTAACCCTGGCACCCTGGCCAAATCCACCCACTGGCCTCTGTCCATCATGGCCTCCTAACCCTCCCCATATCCTGATTGGCTTCATCACTCTCTCTCCTCTCCACCAATCAGCTGGAAGAGATTCCCCCCAATGTGTAAAGCGCTTTGAGTGTCCAGAAAAGCGCTATATAAATGTAAGGAATTAATATTATTATTATTATTATGTGATTTAACTTTACATTTACCTCAAACAAGTCGTTCAGTGTCCACAAGTCAATTATTATCTGGAAAAATGAACTCTAGAGAATAAATATCTGCACTCGATTACTAATGTTCTACTGTTAGCAATATCCTAATGACTTAATGCATGCTTAAATCTGTTTATATATATATATATATATATATATATATAAGCTGAATCTTGAAGCTGACTTATATTTGAAATCAATTTTAATTATTTGCAACTGATATTCATCTATTATAGCCTTTAACAATATAGTAAAGTGCCAGTACTATGAAGTCTCTTTATATAGATTACAGCATTAAAGTTGAAAATCGTATTTCTATTGACATTTGATAAAGATTGATCCACAGACTGTGACTTAATTTGTGTGTACCGTTACACCCCTAGTGTTGGAAACAAAACGACAGGCTGCAATGGGAATAATGATGGATTTGATTGCAGATAGACTGCACATCTAAATTAGGACATTCATAGCGTGCTAATCATTAATTAACCTCCTAGTGCTTAGCGGCCACATATGTGGACAGCACATTTTAGCTCTTAAGTGGCTATTTAAAATACTTTGAATGTTTTATATTTTGTTACAGACACACAGTGTCATCATGCAACTGTTTTGCAGCATATGAAATGTCCCAAACACTATTTTTAACTGTCCAAAATGGGTGGGGAAAACATTGTTTTTACTCTCTGATAGTCAAAACATGTTCAAAAATGTTATATATGCATTACAAAACATTCAGGAAAAAGGGTTTAATGTAAATTTGGACCACGAGTCCACATATATGGACAGCATTTTTCTCTAAAAGTACGACATATCAAAAGATGATGCTTAGGTTTTTATTCTAATTAGGTTCCAATAAGCCCAAATAGCAAAGAGAAATAAAAAATGCTTCTAAAAAAACACCTTGGGCCTTAAGAGGTTAAATATGTCTGTTTTTGATTTTACACTTGTAATACTAACGTAATAACCATCTTAAGCTTTTACAGTTTACGCAAATAGAAATGATTTGATTTAGCATGCACAAAACTAACACGAAGTCTAGAAAGATGTGTGCTTGAGTCGACACATACCCGTATGAGTGAGGCTGTGTCTCTGCAGGTGGTAACGCTGAAAAAACCTCATGTCACACATCGAGCAAGCGTACGGCTTCACCCCTGAATGACCAAAAGTTCATGCATGCGTTTCTTTTAATATAGTAATTTTGGTTACAAAAAACACTGCTTATGTTAAAGGTGCATTAAGGAATATTTGAAAAGCCTTTCTGACCATAGTGTTGGATGAACACATTTGCCGCCAATCATCAGTAAGGGGTGTGTCTAGTAATGATAGGTGAATTAGGAACAAGGCGGAGCCTGTTCGGGTTATGAGTGTGTTTGTTCTCGACATAAGCTCGATAGAAATGTGTGCTTCAGCCTACATTAGTGTGAAATCACACTGAAAGGTGTGTTTGACTGCAGTTTCTAGGTGAAATGAACACTAGGGGCAGTATGAGGACAACAACTTTTGTTCCTTTTCACACTACATATTGATAAATAAAGGATGTGTACGGAGGTAAGGAGGTATACGGTGTTGTCGTTGTGCTACAGAGGTTTGAGATAAAAGCAATGCAAAATCAAGGTAAAGCTGTGTGGTCGCAGTGCACTTTCTCTTACATCTGATTCAGAAAACACTACTGGTTGTATTCAAGCAAGGGTTTAGCTCAGTGGTTTGCTAGTTGATCTGTGCGACAAGCTCTGCCTTCTCCTGAACATGTACAAGAAAGATGAGTATCTGAAATGTAGAATAAAATGTACCCAGAGGAACATATTTTGAGTTGTGCAAAAATGTAGACAGCGCCCTCTAGTGGATTTATCATCGAAATCTTCCAACGAAACCTAAAATATGTTGCTCTGTGTATGCTTTATTGCATGATTCAGATAGCAAATCCACTAGAGGGCGCTGTCTACATTTTTGTAAAATCAAAATGTGTCGCTCTGGGTACATTTTGTGAAAGTTTCGGCTGAAGCATGCATTTCCATTATGTCAGGACTGTTGTTGTTGTGCTTTTAAATATCAACATCATTTGGCTAAATTCACTTAGTGCACCTTTAAGTGCATCTCTGACAACCAACCAAAAACAATAAATGTCAACTCCATCTCAAAGCAGATTAACTAAGATTGTAAAATATTCATTTTACATTTCACATTAAATTTAGCATGCCACAATCTTTATAAATGATGCCTGCTCATAATGGTCTTCGATGATGAGATAAAGAACCAATCAAGATAAGGGTAATCCTTACTTTACGAATGATTCATAGATTCAAAATAGAGGTGCCACTACTGCCGGCATGGACGTTTTCCATTTATATAATTGATAAATTAATATTAAGCACAAGGAAAAAAAACACAAACTCGAGTTTGTTGTAGTTTTTACAGATTGCGTCTCTTGACATAACATACAGAGAGCTTTGAGAGGCAACTCAACTAATAATAATAATAATAATAATAATACACAAGCAGAGGTTTGACCTACCCGTATGGGTGAGGCTGTGTCTCTGCAGATGGTAACGCTGGAAAAAGCGCATGTCACACATGGTGCAAGCATAAGGCTTCACCCCTGAATGCACAAAGTAGCAGTGTATTAACCTTACCGACACCTGCTAACTGAAACCAAACGCACTAAAACAAAAGCATCCAAACTGAAACAAACACAAAATCTGCTTC